AAAAAAGAATTATCTATGTGGGATCAGATTGACAATAGCAACTCAAAAGATTTGATGGGAAGCCTAGGGGGCAGTGAGTTGAAGACAATGGTGATGGAATAATTTGGAAAAATATAGTGAGAATAGCAGCACAACTGGAAGAATGTAACTGATGTCACTGAATTGTACAAGTAGAAACTTTTGAAATGGCGTAACTTTGGCTATGTATATTTTCACCCAAAAAAAGGTCCTCCAAGGTCGAGAAGGGAGAGCGTTGACATGTCGTGGGGTTGTTAACCAAAGTCATAAAACAATATGTGTACTGACCGTTTAATGAGAAACTAGATGTTCTGTAAACCTTCATCTAAAGTACAATAAAAAAATTTAAAACAACAACAACAACAAAAAATTTATACACAGATTGTTTTGTGACATTAGTTCCAATCCCTGCAATGTGTCAGCACTCTCCCCCTTTCCTTTTATACCCTGGGTTCCCCGTGTCCATTTGTCCAGTTTTTGTATCCCTTCTTGCCTTCTCCTCTTTACTTTTGGGAGATGTTGCCCCTTTGGTCTCGTATTTGATTGCACTAAGAAGCATGTTCCTCATGTGTGTTATTGTTTGTTCTATAGGCCTGTCTAATCTTTGGCTGAACGGTAGATTTCGGGAGTGGCTTCAGTTCTGAGTTAGCAGGGTGTCCGGGGACCATAGTCTTGGAGATTCATCCAGTCTCTATCAGACCAGTAAGCCTGGTCTTGTTTGTGAATTTGCATTTTGTTCTACATTTTTCTCCCTCTCCATCTGGAACCCTCTAGCATGATCCCTATCAGAGCAGTTGGTGGTGGTAGCCAATCACCATCTAGTTGTTCTGGGCCCAGGCTGGTGGAGGATCTGGTTCACATGGTCCGTTATCCTTCATGCTAATATTTTCCTTGTGTCTTTGGTTTTCTTCATTTTCCTTTGCTCTGAACAGGATGGGGCCAATAGATGTATCTTAGATGGCTACTCATAAGCTTTTAATACCCTAGACGCTATTCACCAAAGTAGTATGTAGAACACTTTCTTTATAAACTGTTATGCCAATTGACCTAGGTGTCCCCTGAGACAATGGTCCCCAGTCCTCAGCCCCAGTAACTGATTCCCTTAAGGTGTTTGGATGTGTCTAGGAAGCTTATATGATTTTCCATGGTCAAGTTGTGTGACTTCCCCTTTATTGTGTGTTGTCTTCCCCTTCACCAAAGTAAGTCAGTAATTACTTTAATTGTTCTTCAAGACGATGATGTGTGCAATCTTTCTGACCACAAATTTTTTATCATTTCTGTTCTGGCTCTTTTTCCATGCCAATGCTGATACGATTGGGTATAAGTCTTTAGAGATTCTCTCATCTTAAGAACATTTTTGACTCCTTAGCTGAAATGTTACCCTGATTTGGAAATTGTGTATTACATAAACTTCAATCAATTTCTATTATTGGCTTAGTATGATTTTTGTTTTAACAATACAAATGACTAAGTACTTGTAAAATGAACAAGTGAACATTAAACCCTTTAATACAAATGAGTACAAAAAAGTGCGTTCAGTTTCAAAGTGTATTTAGAATGGAGGATAAATGAGTGACTCCTCTGCAGTAGGGACTCAATAAATGTTTTCCAAAATAAAACTAATGTGCTGGTTAGGCCTACATGATGGAGCCATGGTTACTAGAACAGCTTTACGGGTTTAATGCCTGACTTTCTGTGGCATTCTGGAGACTTTACTCTTAGGTACTCGTGACACTTACAATTCATGATCCAAAAATATCTGGGATGGCAATATTGAGCTTGCTTTCAGCCATCATTACACATTCTTGAACACTCTGGTCCAATACATGCCCCTTATCTCACTCCTGTTGCTGGTGCAAAGAGAACAAACCCTTGGTCTTGAAACACAGATGTTCTTATTTCCGTCAAAATGCTAGGCTCCTGTGAAGACCTAGCCTATACAAAGGCCAAGAAAGAGGAATAATCGTTTGCATTTCTTATAGGCCTGATGCTCGATTTCTTTTTGTGCTCTAAGTCTTAAGGCCAAATTAGTTTACAAGACAATAAAAACTCCTTAAGTACAACTTTCCCCACAATTCTGTCAAAGTATGTTCTGATCCAATGGACACTCACCCAACCAAGCCATGGTTCATCATGTGTGTGGAGCAGAGAGAGAGAAAGTGTTTGTGAAGAGACAGGGAGATGGTGGGCTTTAAGATGTTTTATTTCAAGAAATCTGACAAAGATAAAAATAGCCTCACTTACTGAAATTATAGAAGTCTCTGGATGATGCAGATAGTTAACCCACTCAACTGCTAACCAAAAGGTTGGAATTTTGAGTCCACCCAAAGGTACCTCGTAAGAAACACCTGGTGATCTATTCCCAAGAAATCAGTCATTGAACCCCTATGGAGCACAATTCTACTCTGACACACAAGGGGTTGCCGTGACTTGGAGTAGACTCATTGGCAACTGTTTTTTATTGAAATTATGCTAGTTGACCAACCTAAGTATTTTCAGGGAGCAAACAACAATAAAATCCTACACACCAAAATGGCTTCTAGTCTTACCTTGCCTTCTATGCAAAGAATGAATACGGCAAGATTGGGAGTCTTGTTTCCTACAATTAAGACTTCTTTGTTCTTTCAAAATGTTGTGTGGAGTATTTGCCTCAGTAATTAAGCCCAATTGCATTTAATCAAACAAATCTGTTACCTGAAGGGGCCTGACAGGAGGTTTGGACAGATCACTTACTGTCGCCCTTTCCTTGGAAAGAGTAAAAAAGTCCCAAATCATACTGGGTAGTGTACACCAGCCAGATGCTTTGAAATCCCCTGATACGGTGGCAGCCATGAATGCCAGTCAACTTAGAATCTGCTGACCCCCCTGGGGACCATGCTTTCAGGGAACATCTATGTCAATTGGCATAACAAATCTTATTAAGAAAATGTTCATCAAAGTGAGTGGCGTCTGGGGTCTTAAAGGCGTGCAAGTGGCCATCGAAGATGCATCAATTGGTCCCAACCACTTGGAGTAAAGGAGAACAAAGAACACCAAAGACACAAGGAAAGTATTAGCCCAAGAGACAGAATGGGCCACATAAACCAGACACTTCATCAGCCTGAGACCAGAAGAACTAGATGGTGTCCGGCTACCACCAATGAACGTCCTGACAGAGCAGAACTCAAATTCTAGTAAGAAGACCAGACTTAATGGTCTGACTGAGACTGGAGGCGCCCTGGAAAGCATGGCCCCTGGACTCTCTATCACCCCAGAACTAAAACAATTTCCGAGGCCAACTCTTCAGACAGGGATTGGACTGGACTGTGG